ATGGTCATTGGCAAACTTCAGACGGGCCTGGACATGTGATGACTTGAGCAGGGGAACCTTCCGTGCAATGCATGATTTGAAACCATGACGGCGTAGTGTTCTACCAACAGTGACCTGTGAAACTGTGGTCCCAGCTCTCTTCATGTCATTGACCAGCTCCTCCCTTGTAGTTCTGGGCTGATTCCTCACCTTTCTTATCATCAGTGATACCCCACGAGGTGAGATCTTGCATGGAGCCCCAGTCCAAGGGAGACTGACAGTCGTCTTTAGCCTCTTCCATTTTCTAACAATTGCTCCAACAGTTGATCTATTTTCACCAAGCTGCTTGGCAATTGCCCCGTCGCCCTTTCCAGCCTTGTGGAGGTCCACAATTTTGTCTCTGGTGTCTTTTGACAGCTCTTCGGTCTTGCCCATGGTAGTAGTTGGCGTCTGACTGACTGTGGGGTGGACAGGTGTCTTTAAAGAGCTCAGACAGGTGCTACTAAGTTAGATTAATGAGTGGAGTAGAGGTGGACTTTTTAAAGGCGCAGTAACAGGTCTTCGAGAGCCAGAATTCTTGCTGTTTCTTAGGTGTTCAAATACTTATGTTCAATACAAGGTGATCTCCTGAATTTTTTTCTAAATTCTGTCTCTCAGAGTGGGAATGCACCTACAATGTGAATTTCAGACCCCTCCATAATTTCTAAGTGGAAGAACTTGCAAAATCGCAGGGTGTTCAAATACTTCTGTTCCTCACTGTATGTTACATCCAATACCTTCATTCATAGTCATCTTTGCCCCTTCTAATTGCAGCATTTGATAGCACAAACCCAAAAAAATACATTTAAAACCTCCTCTGCTCTCTTCGCTTTACAGCAGGGGTCTACAAACTTTCTAAACAAAGGGCCAGTTTACTGTCCTTCAGACCTTAGAGGGGGCGAATTGTGACCAGTGAGAACAGAAAATACCCCATGTCAGGTAGAGCAAACAATGCCTCAGGCTTGGTGATATGGAGAAATGGAGAAATGGTCTGGGGGTTGAAGAGGAACTTCACTACTCATGTTGATCTGTTATAGGGAGGGTTACGTTAATGTAGAAGTAAACTCCCACGGGACACTTGTACCTACAGGTAAGCTTATAATAAAGCTTACCTGTCTCCTAAACATTCACCGTTTAGGAGATATTCAGCGTCCCTGCGGCCGATGACATCACCGGCGCATGCGCCCTGAAGGAATGGCATACCCATGCCGTTCCTTCAGAGCTCTGCACTGCGGCTGAGACTACCACGCGTACGCACTGGAGTGACATCATCGTGGCTCGGCCGATCAAGCCAGGCCAGAGCCCATGAACCCGAGTGGAAGACCATGTGAAGACGGAAGCCCTGTCAGCGGTGACAGCGCACTGCTGGAGGGCTTTGTTCTAAGGTAAGTCTTTGATAATGTGCTAGTATGAGATTCATACTAGCACATTATAACATTATTTTGCAGGGGACTTTTGTTTTTGGCAGTTTACTACCGCTTTAATAAAAACTATTTGGGCACCCCAAATTCCAGGGTGGATAAAAATCAATGATTTTTTTTTTAAAAAAATCAAAAAAATCTGATTTTTTTTATGTAAATCGGATTTTTTTTAATAAAATGCTTTTTGAGGAAAATATATTACCATCCAAAGGTTATTCCATCATGAAATAAAGAATAGTTTTTTAATTATGTAGAATAAGGCTGTATATGTTTAATATTTTTTGGTAAATAAATTCCATGAATCCATTCACAATGTCATGCTCTTCCAGAGGTTTCTGTAAGATTATTGGGCAGTTTCTCTGCCTACAAGATATTATCACAGATGATTGGTTTACTTTTGCAGTTCTCAAAACTGAATTTGACTCAGCGGAGATCACATGCCTCTTCTTCACAGCAAAAATGTTATAACATGAACAGAGTTATGAAAAAGACCTTCATCCTAACTTCTACAAACCTATGAATACAGAATCAACCCCTTCAGTGCTAAGTTTCAAGAAGTTCAGTGAATAGAATAGAAACAATATTTTTCTGATTGTTTGGAGTGGAATAGATCTGCACAAGAAGAAAGTGAAGCTAAGTGTGAGGAGGGAGGGGCTGACAGTGCGAGGAGGGAGGGGCTGACAGTGCGAGGAGGGAGGGGCTGACAGTCTAAGTTTCTTAAAATATAGATATTTTGTTTAGCCAAATTAGTTAACAAACATGGATGTTTAAGCAAATCACATATGCTGGAATGTTATTGTTTCAGATGAATAAATCTATTTAAATTGTTATTAAGGTAATGATTATTTTTCTCCTTCCTAAGTACAACAGAAAAGTTGTCCAAATATGAATGATTAACCTATTAAACTGGGGATAAAAAAACTAATATGAAAAGTTGTTATTCTAAAAATCTTCATCTACTTGCATATTAAAGTTATACCAGCAAGAATTAGTCTTTATGTAGAAAACTAGGATTTACATCAAGCCTTACTGACTAGTGATTTAAATAAAATCCACCCTGCCAAATTCTATACCTTTTACACAACTCCCCTATATGGCACTCTCACACTTGGTCCAGGAGGGTTAATTTAGGGAGTTAATCTTGAAGGGGCAAAGCCACACCTGTATTAAACTCTACATATTCCAATTACCTAAGGACAGGAGAAGGTTAGCGGTTCCGAATGTCAAATTTAATTTTTTAGCTGCCCAATTGCAATAAATGGTGGGGTAGGGAACTCCAAATTTAAATTATCAACTCGAGGAGGGCATCATGGGTTATTTAAAGTGGAAGACAAGTCAAAACCTGACGAAGCTTAAATCACACCCCCATTCTAAGCCTATTCTATCTACAGTTGTGCTCAAAAGTTTACATCCCCTGGCAGAAATTTTAAAATTTTGGCATTGATATTGAAAATATGACTGATCATGCCAAAAAATGCTCTTTTATTGAAGGATAGTGATCATATGAAGCCATTTATTATCAAATAGTTGTTTGGCTCCTTTTTAAATCATGATAACAGAAATCACCCAAATGGCCCGGATCAGAAGTCTCCGCCCCCTGGATCAGAAGCCTCCGCTCCCTGGAAAGTTTGTCCTTGGTACAGACACACAAGGTGACACACACAGGTAAAATGCCAATTAGAGGTTAATGTCCCACATCTGTGGCTTTTTACATTGCAATTAGTGTCAGTGTATAAATAGTCCATGAGTTTGTTAGCTCTTATGTGGAAGCACTGACTAGGCTAGATACTGAGCCATGGGATCAGTAAAGAACTGTCAAAAGCCCCGCGTAACAAGGTAATGGAACTTTATAAAGATGGAAAAGGACATAAAAAGATGTCCAAAGCCTTGAATATGCCAATCAGTACTGTTACATCACCTATTAAGAAGTGGAAAGTTCGGGGATCTCTTGATACCAAGCCAGGTCAAGTCAGGTAGACCAAGGAAGATTGCAGCCATAACTGCCAGAAGAATTGTCCAGTTTCTGCAGCTGTTGTCGGCACGCTCTCCTCTACACTGAAGCCGACGCTAGAGAGAACATATGACCAGAGCAACTTTAAAATAGGTATAGACATCTTTCCTTTTACAGGATAGATAGAATAATCGTAGGGGTGGGAATAGATTTCAGCACAGTTAGTTTGGACTTGCCTTCCACTTCAAGTGCGCTGCCTATATTAACCACCTCCCGCCCGGCCCATGTATATAAACGGCCGAACGGTGGCAGTGCAGGGTAGGGTGGCTGTTTATAAACGGCCTCCCTGCCCCCTGCTTGTGCGCGCAGCACAGCGATCCGGTGCCTACTGTGTCCTCCGGACACAGTGGAACAACGATCCTCGTACAGGACCTCTGTGCGAAGTCCTGATCATGTGATCACTGATTGGCCAATCAGTGATCACAAGCAGAGTAGTAAGCAAGATATTACTTCTGACATCATTGCTTACTACGTGTGAAATCTGTGAATGATCACAGAGGTCACATGGTACAAGGCTATTCACAACAGCCTTATACCATGTGACAAGCTGTGACCAATCACAGCTCACACAGTATTTCTCAATGGCTGCAAGAATGCAGCCAGAGAGAAGGAGAAATGATTGCTTTTCCAGCCTTTATGGGTGTAAAGCAACTAGTGTAAAAAAAAAAAAAAAAAAAATATTCATCACCCCCCACAAGTAGTACAGTGTCACCATGGTGACACTGCACTGCTAGGGTGACAGTATGTAAAAAAAAAACAAAACAAATAATAATATAAAAAAAAAAAAAAAAAAATGTAAAAAAAAATGTTTTTTTTACTAAAAAGATAACGGAATAAATTTTGGCCAAGATTTATGATGAAATATTATTTATTTGCAAAATTGTATAAGAAAAACACTTTTTTTCAAAATTTTTGGACTTTTTCATTTACATAGCAAAAAAATAAAAATCCCAGTGGTGAATAAATACCACCAAAATAAAGCTTTATCTGTCTCAGAAAAATTCTAAAAATTTAATATGGGTACAGTGTTGCATGACCGCGCAATTGTCATTCAAAGTGTGATAGCACTGAAAGCTTAAAATTGACCTGGACAGGAAGGGGGTGAAAGTGTCCGGACTGGAAGTGGTTAAAGATATTGCATGAGGTATGATGGAAATGAAACAGATTCCGCATTATTCCGCTTACAACTCATATAATCGGATTTGGCACAATGTCATTGCAGGAACTAGGTAAACGTGAAGGTTTTGATGTTTGGCCTCAGCTGGGGCGACAATATTTCTCTCTCAGTTATATACTAACGACACACTTAAATCCTTTCACACACTACAAATGGAACTTCAAATACCTAGACAGAAAGTCTACCAACATCTCCAACTGCAGCATGCCCTTATTGTGCAATTTAAAGGATCACCTTTCTGCAAAAAATTATAAATGCGCATTTTTTTGCAGGTAAAAAAAAAAAAAGTGCATTTATTATTTATTGCAGTAGGAACTTGGAAAGGATTGCACCAGTGATCAGATCGCTGATGCCATGCAAGTCTCCTTCAGACTGTCATTGTATCTGTGTGCTCAAACATACTGTACGGGCAACCCGATACTTCTGACCAGGGGTGGACTGACAACTACTAAACCCAGGACCCTGCATTCACTATATCCGGTCTCCCCAGACCCTGCATTCACTATATCCGGTCTCCCCAGACCCTGCATTCACTATATCCGGTCTCCCCGGACCCTGCATTCACTATATCTGGTCTCCCCGGACCCGCATTCACTATATCTGGTCTCCCCGGACCCCGCATTCACTATATCTGGTCTCCCCGGACCCTGCATTCACTATATCCGTCTCCCCAGACCCTGCATTCACTATATCTGGACTCCCGGGACCCCGCATTCACTATATCCGGTCTCCCCGGACCCTGCATTCACTATATCTGGTCTCCCCAGACCCTGCATTCACTATATCTGGTCTCCCCGGGACCCCGCATTCACTATATCCGGTCTCCCCGGACCCCGCATTCACTATATCTGCTCTCCCCGGACCCCGCATTCACTATATCTGGACTCCCCGGACCCCGCATTCACTATATCCGGTCTCCCCGGACCCTGCATTCACTATATCTGGTCTCCCAGGACCCCCAAGAGGTATACGCATTCACTATATCTGTTCTCCCCAGACCCTGCATTCACTATATCTGGTCTCCCCGGACCCTGCATTCACCATATCTGTTCTCCCGGACCCTGCATTCACTATATCTGTTCTCCCCGGACCCTGCATTCACTATATCTGTTCTCCCCGGACCCTGCGCAGCATTCACTATATCTGTTCTCCCCGGACCCTGCATTCACTGTATACGGTCTCCCCGTACCCCGCATTCACTATATCTGGTCTCCCCGGACCCCGCATTCACTATATCCGGTCTCCCCGGACCCTGCATTCACTGTATCCGGTCTCCCCGGACCCTGCATTCACTATATCCGGTCTCCCCGGACCCTGCATTCACTATATCCGGTCTCCCCGGACCCTGCATTCACTATATCCGGTCTCCCCGGACCCCACATTCACTATATCTGGTCTCCCCGACCCTGCATTCACTATATCCGGTCTCCCCGGACCCTGCATTCACTATATCTGGTCTCCCAGGACCCTGTATTCACTATATCTGGTCTCCCTGGACCCTGGGGCCCCCGGGCAATAAGGGATCATGGGGCCCCTGTGTCCTCGCCCACACTCAAACCACACCCAAAAAAGCCTATGAAAAGGTACCAGGGGCATCTCATGGGGCCCCCTACTGACCCCGGGCCCTCGGGCACTGCCCGAGTTCCCAAATGGTCAGTCCGCCCCTGCTTCTGAGAGGAAGACTCAATTAACTACCACAGCACTCGCGGTTCATTGAAAACTACAGGCTGACAGCTGCTAAGGCTGTTGGGACTTGCAGTTAAGGCATAATAGCCGGAGAAAAATAAAACAACATAGAAATGTAGAATGATTACAACAGAAGTGGCAGTATACAGGTCAGAAAGACCAAACATCAATGCTATACAGGACAGAGTAGGCGGGAACATACAGGGGACCACTACATGGTACTATGCGGACCCTAGCAGTAGAAAATGTGATGGTACACAGACAAATATCCAATTGGACAGGTCACAATAAGATCCAGACCCTCCCGGTTTCCAAAGCCGGGGACAGGAAGCCCCGTCAAAGGTCCCGGGAACAAACCCAAATAACAATTCAAATACAAAAGATCCCCTTCAATTAGAAATTAACATCGGGAATTGCGGTTCCATAAAGGAGATGTCTAAGAAACAGAGAGAGGGGAAAGGAAGGAGAAAAAAAACACATGGTGGGAAAAGAACAGAGTAAAACCAACCCCCACTGAAGACGTGCACGCGTACGAAATGCGTTTTGGAGGAGCCTGCGAGCCTTGACGTCATGCCGCCGGATCACGGAGGTCCGGCGGCCATTACTTCTATCCAGCTGAGCTCCCCCAGGTGGCCACCTTACCATATTGAAGAGGCCGCACCCGTGTCCTTAAAGGGGACCTCCGGTTGAATATCCCCGATGACATCCATCTTTTCCGGGTCAATTCCATTCCTATCCTGAGGGGGACCCATTGGCAGACCTTCATTTTGTTACACATTGCGCAATTCTTTTGCGCGTCCGGTGAGTGTGCACTTTATCTGTACTTTGCCTCTCACCTATCCCTTGAAGAAGTGGTGTACTGATATATCTGATATCAGGAGGAGCCCTATATATCTATTACGAACTTTTATTATATATATATATATGTCTTGTGATATTTATTGAGGATTATTTATATTTTATTTACATTTTATGTCACATCTTATTATTAGCGCTGCACTTTTTTTCACTTTACATAGTAAAACCAACTCTTTAACGTGGTCATCAATATCATCAACTGATATCATTAACAGGAAAGGTGTACTCACATTTGAGTGCTGAACTGAAGGAAAACACTCCTCTACTGGGTAATATGAGACTAATGTAGGGAATATCCCGGAGGATGCATGGAGCAGGGCTTTGGAAATTATACCTCTAGTATCCCTGTCACCAACACCGACACCTAGGGCTCACCATACCCAGCAAAAATTGTTCTGCTGGCAGGGTAGAGATTCATCTAACTGCCCGAGGTGTCATGGTGCACCAGTGGATTTTCTGCACATTATGGAGATGTCCCAAACTTTTCCACCGTTGGCAATTGGTATTAGGAGTTATAAACAAAACTTACCAGACAGAGATTCCTCGATACCAGGGGTGTCAAACTGGCGGCCCTTCAGCTGTTGCTAAACTACAGGTCCCATAATGCCTCTGCCTTTGGGAGTCATGCTTGTAACGGTCAGTCTTGCAATGCCTCATGGGACTTGTAGTCTGGCCACAGCTGGAGGGCCGCCAGTTTGACACCCGTGCTCTATACCCACTAGAGGTAGAGGAGTGGTTCACACATATTAATGTTATGGTACCTTAGGTAAAAAGCTGGTTTTCTAACACAGGGGCTGCGAGACTAAATTCATTAAAATATGGGAACCCTGGCTGTCCGTTCCAAGATTTGCACTCTTACCATTTCTTTTTCAATTTATGCTTTAACCGCTTCCCGACTGCTCTATAGCAGAAATACTGCTACAGGACGGTACGGGTGTGCAAAATCACCTATATATACGTGATTTCGCATTTCCAGGTAGGGGCGCGTGCAAGCCGCGCGTGTGTCCTACCCGTGCCACCATTTGGGGCCACAGCTGTCAATCACCGGGTCCCGGCTGGTGATTACTCGCCGGCGCTTGGTGATTTCCGAGGATCTCCGACGGGGAGAAGAACTGTTTTGTTTACTAACAGTTCTCCTCCCTTTCAGCTCGTGCACACTGCTTTGGATGGCTGTGCGCAGCACCAGCCATCCAAAGCAGTGTGATTACAGTGAAGCACACTGACACCGCCCCCTAGAAAAACACACCGTTAACCCTTTTATCGCCCCTCATGTTAACTCCTTCCTGCCCAGCGCCATTAGTATAGTGTCAGTTCTTTTTTTTTTAGCACTGATCACTGTATTGGTGTCACTGGGGATGTCACTGACACCAAGCTAGTTCCCCCCCAGTATCAGAATGTTCGCCGCAGTCGAAGTCGCTGATTACTGCCATTACTAGTAAAAATTAAAAAGGAAAAACCCAGTATATATGCCGCCAATGCTATAAATTTCACGTAAACCAATTAATTTACACGTATTGGGATATTTTTTTTAGCAAAGATGTGTAACAGAATACATTTGGCCTAAATATATGACGAAATTTTAGTTTTTTTAAAAAAAATTTTTACTGGATATGTTTAATAGCAAAAAGTCAATAATATGTTTTTTTTTTTCCTCAAAATTGTCAGTATTTTTTTATAGCACAAAAAATAAAAAAACGCACAGGCGATCAAAATAGCACCGGAAGAAATCTCAATTAGTGGGAAAAAAATGTCAATTTTCATTTGGATGCAGCGTTGCATGACCGCGCAATTGTCAGTTAAAGTAACGTAGCGCAAAAAATGGCCCGGTCAGGAAGGGGGGTAAATCCTCAGGAGGGCAAGTGTGATATGCTGCGTTTACTGGTAGAGTGAAGAATATTTGATTACAGAGAGAACATTGCTAATGTTGTTGGCATACTTTACTAGGCAAGATCCGGATATGCTTTTATTATTTCACCGTCAGGAACATCTCTTGTGTCATGTGAACATTTGTTTGAGAGATTGCTAACTTGTTAAAGTGAAACTTTAGTCAGAAAATTAAGTCTTGCTAGATCACTTCAGGCTGTCCCCTTTTGCAGGTATAGCCTTAAGCTCATGCGGACCGCCTACCACATATTTTCTGCAGCAGAGTGGCCCCCATCGGCGTATCCTAAGTCACGTGACTTAATCGGTAAAGTACTCCTGATGAAGTCATGTGACGCAACGTGTAAGGTACGCGGATGACGTCAAGCCGCAAACCAGACGTGCATGTGCTGCCATTTTGGAAAAGGGATTCCTGTACATTGTTCACAAGACATGCTGTATAGTGAGTTTTTTACCCTGCAGTGTCCCAGGTGGACACTTTTAACTGTGACTTTATTTTGAGTATTTTAACCACCTCCCGGCCCGGACCGTTGTATATAAAAGGCCGGACGGTGGCAGCGCAGGGTCGGGTGGCCGTTTATAAATGGCCTCCCTGCACCTTGCTTGTGCGCACTCCCTGGGAGCGTGCGGCACCACGATCCGGTAGTCGTACAGGACCTCTGTGCGAGGTCCTGATCATGTGATCACTGATGGGGCAATCAGTGATCACATGCAGAGTAGTAAGCAAGATGTCACTTCTGACATCATTGCTTACTACGTGTGAAATCTGTGAATGATCAGAGAGGTCACATGGTACAGGGCTATTCACAACAGCCTTGTACCATGTGGCAAGCTGTGACCAATCACAGCTCACATAGAAGTTCTTAATGGCTGCAAGAATGCAGCTAGAGAGAAGGAGAAATGATTGCTTTTACAGCCAAAAAAATAAAAAATCTTCATCACCCCCCACAAGTAGTAGTGGTGACACTGTACTGCTAAGGATACAGTATGTAAAAAAAAAAAATAAAAAATAAATAAAAAATATAAAAAAAAATGTAAACAAAAGTTCAAAAATTATAATTTTTGGTTATAAACTAATTTGGGTTATTTTTTTTTACTAAAAATATAAAAGAATACATTTTTTTTTGCCAAGATTTATGATAAAATACTATTTATTTGCAAAATTTTATAAGAAAAAAAACACTTTTTTTTCAAAATTTTTGGACTTTTTAATTTACATAGCCAAAAAATAAAAATCAAAATCCCAGTGGTGAATAAATACCACCAAAATAAAGCTTTATCGGCCTCAAAAAAATGAAAAAAAAAAATTCATATGGGTGCAGTGTTGCATGACCGCACAATTGTCATTTAAAGTGTGACAGCACTGAAAGCTGAAAATTGGGCTGGACAGGAAGGGGGTAAAAGTGTCCGGACTGGAAGTGGTTAATAAAGTCCGTTTTGCTTGGCAATACTACACTATATGGAGCATTTTTTTCCTATGATTGTGGAGCGTTCTGGAGAGTTTTTAAAGTGCTGACGGTGGTGAAGATCTGTGTGCCAGTATACCCTCCTGGGTTAAAGGGAAAAGTGTAAATTGACCTGGCATTACGGGTCAAACCTGGAGGTGAGCGCAATAATGTGTTGGAGGTGAATGTACAAAGGGGTGACACAGGAGCACCGTACACATGTATGCAGAAGTGTGATTGCACTGATCCACTTGGAGTACAGCGTATTTAAAAGGACAGTTCACCATTGTTTGGGGATTTCATTTATGAGACACTTGTTGCTGGTGTATCTGGATCACGATATATAGGAGACATACCGCACAAGCAAATGTGAAGATATTTAAGATTTAAAGGGACAGTTCACTATTAACCAGGGGCGGACTGACCATTTGGAAACTTGAGCACTGCCCGAGGGCCCGGGGTCAGTAGGGGGCCCCATGAGATGCCCCTGGTACCTTTTTCATAGGCTTTTTTGAGTTTGAGCAAGGACACAGGGGCCCCATGATCCCCTATTGCCCGGGGGCCCCATGAGTTGTCAGTCCACCCCCTGCTATTAAGTACATTTATCTGGTATTTATATTCATTTCAGCACTGTTATGTGCAAGTCTATGGTTATTTATGTGTATGTGTTGAGAAGATATTGGCTGTAGCACATATTTATTGTCACAAACACCATTTCTGTTTTCACCATTCATATATGCATGTTTGTATTATTAGCACCATTTGTGTTTATACTGTTGCGCTCTGCACGTGCTCAGTTTATTTTTCAGCATTGTGCCAAAAATGTAGAGGCCAATCTGC